TGGGTGGTAAGAATAATGAAGAACTAGTTATTATCGCCGTCCATTTCTATATTCGCCATCTTTGTGCTTTTACTATTTTTGTGAATTTTGCAGACGACAGCGGTGAGCAATCATTGATAATATTTGCAGATATACAAAAGAGGCACAGAACTTACAACATCTAATCGACAGTGCAACAATGCAGTCGCAGTTTGCTCCGATACAATATTCCCGTGATCGTCGCATGTTATTAAATGCTGGAAAAGTGGTTGGTTCCTTGTGCCGCCCCCAAAAATATTGGAACTCCTGCATTGATTTATAAGAGTCAGATCAGACCAAACAAAATGGAGAATTGCTACCACATATTCGGACAAGGAGAAGGGATAAAGCTCTACTCCTATTCAAGAGCTTTATCCCTTCTCTTTGTTTAGAATTAGGTTACCGGTTCCTTCTATATTCTCTTTCTCTCCCTGTAGCCCCGTTGCGTCTTAGTGGCATTATTGCCTTGCTTAGGATGAAATGTTTAAAAGAGATATCCGGGCAAGTGCAGCTCAAACATCACTTTCCAACCACGTTCAAAAACGTTTACGTGGCCTTGTGAGCGATGAATTATTTTCTACCCTAACAACTCCTTCTTCAGAGACCAAACGTCGCATGCTTCTTGCCACTCGATGGTAAATATTCAGATGAGCTCCATTCTTTAGTTTCACCAGTTCAGACCTTCCCATCTAAGACCCGCCATTCCATGTGTATGGCGTTAAATCATTTTCATTCTTTTCGTATTCCATTGGTAAGGAGGAAGTTTTACTCAGACAGCTTCTTCCCAAGAACCGCTAGTTTGTGAAACTGACTCCCTAGAGGATGCTTCCCCGATCATTACAATATTAACCTCTTTAAGTCTAGGGTTAACCGTTTTCTATCCTAAATATCCTCATAATCTTCATTTACTTCTTGCTCTTACATCTATGCAAAAACCTCACTTAATAACACTCTACTTTAAGTGGCTCATGGGCCTTTTGTTGGGTGATGGTTTACTTTTAAAACTGGCCAAATATAACCTTCTTTTCCGGGTTTCCGGTTAGCTTCTTTTTAGTAAGCACAGATGCTTTTCTTGTTACATTTCCACTCATTGTGAACTGTTGGGTTTATTTGAACAGAGGGTCAGGTTTTAGTAGGTGGGTCGAGCCATAAAATCCTTTTTGGCACCCCCCCTCACGTGGACGAAAAATTGCGCAAGATTTCAGTGGATTTAAATATAGACTATATATATATAATATTAATATAAATATATATAATATTGATAGAAATCTTATAAGTATAAGAAACTATACTGGCTCGAAAAACCTTCGGTGTCTTGATTTGCAAATAAACAAGCCAATACCAAAGGGGGAAAAAGGTATAAAAAAAGTAAGAACCAAGAAGATGGACGTTAGCCGAAAATAATCGTTCAGTATGCAAGTCCAAAGCCCAAAGAAAAAAAACCCTACAATGAGTAGAGCAGACCTAGTTAAACGTAGAGAGCCAGACAAACCTACCAAGGTTTCACCTAAGCAAGCCTTTCTGACGATCCGTAGGTGAAACCTTGGTAGGTTTGTTCAACTCTCTAGGTTTATATATATATATATATATATATATATATATATATATGATAAAATATAGTTTTAAGGTATGCTATATTCATGGGTTAAAGTGCTCAATATCAAGGATAGAGGATATGTAAATATATAAGTGGACATTGAAGTCAACATCCAGCCGCTGTGTGTTAACTTCAATGCCCACTAGTGCCTTACTTTTATACTATAAACTATATAAACTTTTTTATATATATATATATATATATATATATATATATATATATATATATATATATGAATAAGGTATATTTAGGCAGCAAGTTTGATTAGGATATACCAACCCAAACAATTATGGAGAAATGAAACAAAGTGGGAAAGCTTTTTAATGACACGCGTTTCGCCTCCGTGTATGAGGCAGTTTATAACCTGATAAGTGTGAGCAAATCTCCGAAGATTAAACTTACGACACAAGCGAATTGTTCGTTGAAGTGAACTTTCTAATTATTGTACCAAATGAAAAGAAAGCTTGAAGGAATGCTGTGTTGTGACGTATTTTCATTTAGAGAGGATATGTCGGCTTTGAAAATCAGCATTCGAAATTCTAGGTGTTAACTTGACTTGATTTTAATCTCCAAAATCTTATCCACGAAATTAACTGCATTTCTCTTTGAAGAGACCGATAATCTGGCTGCTTGCAATCCTTGCTTAAAATATTTACTCCACTTCTCTTTCTCTTGTTTTTTAAGTCATGTTAATTGATTATTTCAATGAAAAATCCAACTTCACACCCAACCAGCCAATGTAGCTCTATATTCATCAATAAAAATTACTGTTAAGAAATCAGTTTTTATTTACGTCTCTGTCCAGTTGATATATACCTTAAAAGTGGTTGTTTGCTTGCTTTCATGTCTTTAGCAAATGTTCAATATCTTTTCTTTTTATTTACGTTCACAATACCAGCTTCCTCAAATATTTTCCTACTAGTCAATCCACATTTCTTTAACTTTTCTCATATCATTTTGTTTAATTTCTTAAGCCATTTCTATCTTGTTTGTAATTTCGTCTTTATTTTATTTTTGTCTTATCAACTTTTTAGTAATCCCCCAAATAACCTTCCGCCATTTTGTTTCTCTTTTAAGATTATATCTTTCATATGACTCACAGCCATCTTTATGTACCATAAATCAAAACGCAAATACTAATAATGATACTACATATGTTACACAATTATATAATTTGCTATATACGGTACATATATACTATTCTATAACTTATTGTAATTTATATAATTATAATACTTATACTATATTTTCATGAACAAGAAAATAATATACTTGTATCGTATTTTTTATTGCATTATTTTCACTTTTCTTTGCTTTGTTTATTTTTTCTGTCGGCGGTGACAAGAATAACAGAACATTAAAATGAAGTCAGATAATTCTCCAAGACACGCAATTCGAAAATACAACTTAACAGAATTTTCATCAATATTCTGCAGAAAAATGGTTTGAAATCAAGCTTACGGCTTAATTAGAATTAAAAAGAGGGCAGTTGGTCAGTGCCTGGAAGCCATTGTTTGGTGGGCATGTCAACAAAATGTAAAATTTCGGAAATCTCCAATCAAATTACTAAAAGCTGAAAACTGAAGTTTATAATGCGGTATCCAGTTGGATCAGAGTCCGATCAACCCTGATTTGGTCAACTGGGGAAGTGGGGTTGATGTTGAAAGACCCGAAACCTCCGATGATCCCGGTAATATAACATTACTGACGACAACCCCACGCACCTGAAAAGTGTATTTTGCAAACAACATATTTATTTATGATGAACAAATCTAGAGTTTCATAAGAAAACCTTCCAATATTAAATAAGTTATTGCAATCACGTAATAAAATCAAGTATTATAAACTGAAATTCACAAGGTATATTTATTATAAAAAGCATAAGGTGTATTACGAAGGAGGACCAGGATCTTTTCAATTTTATTGTGATAAAAATTGACTTGCATCATGATCTCACATATAATACTGTAGTCCAACTTTCACACACCCTCATCATCCCTTTTTTGTCACCCCTTCTGTCGAACGAGTTAAAGCTTCGTAAGTATCTATATAAACACACACAAATGCAGTTGAGAAGAAAGAAAGAAAGAAAGAAAGAAAGAAAGAAAGAAAAAAAAAAAAAAAAAGAAAGAAAGAAAGAAAGAAAGGTTTTAAAAACATGGCGGTTCAATTACATGTCCTCATTTTTTTTCGTGTCGCTTGTACACGTGAGGGAGAAAAACAACGAAATGACGTCTTTATTTCAAGAATAGGACCGCGTCCCATTCGTTATTTGACGAGCAAATTATTATTAGACACCTTAAGACTTCTTATAGTAACGTAGAATTTCCTATTATTTTTACTATTATTGTTGTTGTTGTTGTTAACGCGTTTGCACGTCGTCGTCCCATTCAAGGCAGATGATTGTTTGATATGTCGCCAATTTTCCACGCATGCTCAGTTGAGATTTCTTGCGTTTTCGTAATTCGGCATCGCTTAGGAGCATGCCATTGTTTCTCCTGCTGAGATATTTCGTTGCAGCTTATGTAATTAGTACACTAGTATATTGGCAGGTTTCGGTAAGACACTGGCACTTGAAGAATACACTGCATAGCAGCCAATATTGGTAGAATCAAGTTTACAAGAAATATGATTTTTAAGAGATGGTTTTAGGAAAAGGCTTGGTCTTCATTTGAAGTTCAAGCCTCGCTTAATTTGGAACTGCCTGTCTTCTCATTAATTTGGAACTGCCTGTCTTCTCATTAATTTGGAACTGCCTGTCTTCTCATTAATTTGGAACTGCCTGTCTTCTCATTAATTTGGAACTGCCTGTCTTCTCATTAATTTGGAACTGCCTGTCTTCTCATTAGTTTAATAAGGTTATTTTCAAAGTAAACCTCAAAGTTGCAAATAGTGAAATACAATATTCAGTAGCGTTAGAAATTCAAATGTTGTTCAGTACAAACATTTTAATCAGAAGTGAGATCGGTTTTGTTTGTTTTTAAGATTTTAAAATTGCACAACGTAGGAAGAGAAAGTGGCCTTTTTATGTAACACTATTGAATTTATCACTCATTTTCAGTACAGGGATATGTGAAACAATCACTATCTCGTAGCACTCGCAATTCGCATAGAAACTGATAAGAATGCCTCGGGTATCTAGAAGCCAAGGGATGCCCAGAACGCACAGTTCGCGTAGAACTGGTTTGATACACGACTTTTTAAAATACACATTAGGATGTGTAATATTAATGATGGTAGGTGGATGTCATTAATATTAATCTTAGTTGTCAGGTCATAACCCAGCTCTCCAACATGAGTAAATATAACTTATTGAAAAATGATTTCAGGTTCAATTCTTTGACACTTTCTTATGAATTCTTTCATTTTTTTTTTTTTTTTTCAGGTTAACAAAGAATCGGTAATGAAGTGTGTACCGGAGATGATCCCCGATACTGATGCCCAGAATATTACAATTCCAACGGACCTTTTTAAGGATTTTGAAAACTTGAAAAGCGCAACAAAATTAGATTCTGCAACATTGATGCGAAAGTTGCTGACAGATTTCAACAAGTAATTATCTTTCGATCGTTATTTTTTATGCTTCTAAAATCCAGTCCTATTTTTAAGTTAATTTGTCTCTTAATAGTATTTTATTCTTTCGGAGTATGTCAGCAGATCTTTATGCAAAATAAAGTTAACTATTTACATTTTGATGATTTCTCGCACAATTTTCTAATATTTTCTATATTTGAAAATATTTTATACTTGATTAAATTATTAATTCGGATCTTTACATCAAGATGTGTAAACATACACTTTTTATTTACTAAGTTTAATCTAGTTTGGGACAAGGCCGTAAGTATGGAGCACTAGTAACAAACTCGTTAAGCATACTGAGTTACCTACAAACACTTAGTAGTTTTCATATCACCAAATTAAATAAACTAATTTTCAAGAAAAATGCCACACAGATGTTGCAACCATAACAAGTATATTTGGTAGTTAGGGCACCCTGAGGCGGTGTAATGGTTAGCAAGCTTGCCTTGCTAACACAATTACGAATGAGTAGTGAGTTCGATCCTCACTGGGTGCCCCATATTTTCGGCCTTGTGCCACATCTAAGCTACGCTTAGAAAATCGCAATATATTTTGCTGTTGGTTAAGCAGTTGTAAATCTTTTAGAAGAATTTTTTCCCTGTGTTTCTTCTTTGTCAAAGATATCAAACCTCCATTAGAATACCTCATTTAATATCTTCGTCGGGGTTATTTACAATAACCCTTAGTTTAGTCTGATACAAGGCTTTTATATTCGAGCACCCAATGAAGCTCAAATTCACATTAACAAATTGGTCTGCAAAACGTGCTTACTAACCATAGCGCTACGGAAAACACCCTATTTCGATCTTTATTCCATGCAACACTTTGACAATTCCTGACTTTTGTTGAACAAAACTGAGCCGAGATCGAATTTCAGTCGAGTTTGTTTGATTTACTTTCGTGCAAAAACTCATGGGAAAATATAACTCTACTCCCTGTAACTAAGGTGTAAATAGTACGTCTTGTAATGTTAAAAATCTGTGTTATTCTCAGAAGAAAACGAATTATTTTTTCAATCCAAAATACTTTTCGGCTTTAAATAACACATGAGGGTTTGATAATTCGTAAAAAATAAACCAATCAATGGTCTCCCAAAAGGATTTCTTCAAACTATTGTTTATCGATGCAATCTTATATATACAGAAATACGACTAACGCGGGTTGCAATTTTACATTTTGAATACTGAATGCGTGTATCTTAATTTTTTCTTTTTTTTTTTTTTTTCATTTTTGGCATCCGATTTTTATATCCGAAAACGTAGCCGTCCTCATTGATCTTTCTAGCGCTTTTGTTTTTATTGCTATTGTTTCAAATATTTATTTTGTTATTAAATTACCCACGATTAGTCTGATATTTAGATTTGATGGTTGGTGGTTGATCTCTTGACAATACCAGGTGGTGTAAACTTGGATGTGCGGGTGGTGTGATGCATAATGACTCGTAATTATGAAATCGGAAAAACGAATTCGAATTCCAGCCTAGGTCGTTAATTTCAGTTACATGCAAATGCTCCTGGGAAAGGCATGAATTCTTCTCTACTCCCTACATCTATAAGTTAATTAGCAGGACAGACTGGGTCCTATAGCCTTGATTGCCAACCACTCTAAGACAAAAAGTAATGGCAGCCCTAATTGTTGACAATACAGGGATGTTCAACTTGTGCATCTAGATGCATAACTTAGATCAGGGGTCGGTAATCTACTGCACGCGTGCCATACGTGGCACGCCAAGCAATTTCCAATGGCACGCAGCCGCAAATGACATCACGAAGTCCGAACCAATAACTACTACAACGCAAAGAAGATATTTAACTGTTTCAATTTTAATATATACTAAAGTATATATACTAAATATATAATATATATATATATATATATTAAAGTATATATACTAAATATATAATACATATACAATATACTAGCAGTAGAGCCCGGCGTTGCCCGGGGATGTAACAGTAAGAGATAGATCAAGTATCGACCATCATAAAGACTGAAAAATAAAAATGACAAAGATTATTGTTTAAGGTTGACGGACACGCATGTCTTAATTAGTTTTTTTTTTCTTTTTCTTTTTTTTACGAATTGGTCAAACCCAAACTCAAACAAAAACATTGTTTTCAATCGTTATGAGTCTATCGATTGAATAGAATTTTATTATAAACAATTGTCTTGTAAATGGAATTTTTAAAGCATTCTGAATGTAAAAATAAAGAAAAAAAAGTGAAAGACAATAAGAAACACTACCTGCCAAAAAAAAGTGAAGTTTTGTTGAAATCGGTTGAAAAATGTAGGAAGTCCGATCCCATATATAAATGAACACACACACACACACACACACACACACACACACACACACACAAACAACCTGGGTTTTATAATAAGTATAACTCGATATGAGTTGTCCCCCTTTCATTCTGGCGACATAATCGTGTTTTACCGTGTTTTCAAATTGATTTCGTGCAAAAACAATTGTGTTTTTCCAATTTTTGGCGCTGTCAGAACCACCGCAAGGTAATTTTACGCAGTCCTGTGAAGTTTTGTTGAAATCAGTTGAAAAATGTAGGAAATCCGATCCAATATATAAACCTACACACACACACACACACGCACACACACACACACAGAATCTGCGTTTTATAATAAGTAAGATTACTATATACAAATATATATGCTAAAGTATATATACTAAATATATAATATATATACTATATATTACTATATAAAATATATTCTAGAACAATGACTTGTATAAAAAATACGCATACTGTTGGCCCACTGAATGATTTTAAAAGCCTAAATCGGCACATAATTAACAAAAGGTTGCCGACTCCTGAATTAGATGACCTCATACAGCTTTCTGTCGCTTTTGTTTTTATCTCTATTGTTTTTAAATAAGCTACATATTTCCTAATAAAACATTACAAAATATGTTTGTCTGATCTTGGAGGTAGATTTAAAGTGGAAGGTTTGGAAGTTAGGGCACTTTATATATATTTCGTCTTAACAAATTACTCTCTCTTTTCATTAAAACTGCAATGTTTAATTGGAAAGTATGGTCAGATCTATTACGATGAACATTATATTGCCTTTTTGAAATATCCCTTTTGTGTTTATGGATCCAGGAACATACAGTATGTCTCCATTCTTAACAAAACTACTACTAATTATAATGTGGGATATTTTAAAAAACAATAGTGATAAAAATAAAAACAAAAATCGATAGAAAGCTAAATGAAGCTTATACATCTAGATACACTGAACGTCGAAAATTAGAAAAAAGAAAATTAAATTTAAAGCTAAACGTCCGTGTGTCTTCAGTTTTTACTTGATGTAAAACTGTAATCGATGTTTGTTATTGTTGTGGTCTTGTTAAGGGCCAGAAATAAAGACACAAAGAGAGGAATTGAGTTAAACAAATAGATTAACAGAAAACAGTAATACAAACATATACAAACGAGTGTGTTAAAGCAAGAATTTTCGGTCCGACTGTCAGAGCTGACTGCTGGAAACTTCCCTCTCTAAAAGGCAGTACCTGCTCCTATTTATAGCTGGCAGAGTCTATGCGACGTGGGTAAATTACCATAACAGTTATATTTTCCCCAACTTCAATAGATATTTTTCCAAGTTTTGACAAAACCGTTATTACTCTGAATAAGTCCTTTCGATGGTCGAAGCGTGTAAGGTAGGAGTGTTTTTTTTTTTTTCTATTTTCCCATTCAATACTTAATTTATAAGGCAAATAATTCAACACAGATTTTACCAGAGTTAATATATTAAAGACACAGTAATTACCAGACTCCGAAAAAGATTTGGAGTGTAACAGCATCAGTCAGTTATGTGCCATGCGTGATACACGCTTAGGCGATCATGCATCTTTTGATACATGACTGACGAGGCAGATTTTTTTTTCTCGCAGTAGTTTGACATTTCTTTCTGCGGTAGACCAGTTGCCATCCAAGGCTATAGAACTCAATCTGTCCTGCTATTTACCCTTAGCTGGAGGGAGAAGAAGAGGACTGAGGATTCCTCAAGGACACATGGCACAGTAGATAAAGGCGTTGGTTAGATCCAGTGACATGACCCAAAGAGTGTGAGTTCAATACCTGGTTAAGTCAGTGGAGAACTTAGAGAGGGGAATTAAAAGGAGATAACTGATAACTGACATCCATTAAAATATGGCACGTGGAACTAGAGTCTCCCCCAGTGAGCGAAATAAAAGTTTAGTTCGTCATTCCAACCACCTGAAGAAGGCCGGAGCGTACAACGGCCGAAACGTTGTAATAAAAATGGCGGCAAAGATGAGGACAATAGTCCAAATAATGTAAATAGTGTACATAATACCTCATCTCAGAAATATAGACAGATACTGAAGGGCCGAAACGTTGTAATAAAAATGGCGGCAAAGATGAGGACAATAGTCCAAATAATGTAAATGATGTACATAATACCTCATCTCAGAAATATAGACAGATACCAAGAGGATACATATCTTTCCCAAGGGTAGTAGCACGTAAGTGAATGTAATGGATTCGACTGGAATTCGATTCTCCGTGTGACAGCATATTGCATCCAATTCAACCAAGCGATTCAATATGAAATATGTCTTATTGGTAGGACCTTTCAATGTATAAAGGATGCAAATGTCTGGTGTATCAGAAGTATTTTCGTTTTTTTACAGTGAAATCTATCTGCTACTCTACTTATATGGTATTTTCCGATGATCCTAGTTTTTTTAAAACTTTTCCAATATCGGAGCTCTTTCTTGCTTTTTAAATCCTCATAATCGACAATAACTTCTGGGCTTTGTTTCAAGAGACAAATTATCTTTCCTTAAAACGCTTGCAACAATTATAGGACTATTTATTGTTTCATTGTCTTCTATTTCCAAAATGCTGCAATCAACTTTATTGGCCTTAAAAGCTCAAATTAACAAATATTGTCTTTAAATATGTCCATGAAAAAAGTTTCAGAGCAAAGGCCAGAAAATGCCGAAAATACATTTCATACAACCAAATTATAATTAGTTTATAACATTTCATTAAAGACTAGCATTTCTTGTTTACATTATGTTTTTATTCATACTTCCAGGTTGAAAGAAAACGACGACAGTGTTCCTGGGAGCAAAACACTTACTGTCAACGATTACCACGACAGCGATATAAACACGTTGTTGACAACTATTAAACAGGAATGTCCCTCACCAGAAACTGGACACATATCTCCATCTACTTACCATATTTCTGAATCAACGATTACATCTGCCGCTGGACTGGACATTAATGAAAATCTCGATATGTCAAGGTGTAAAAAAACAAAAGATTTTCAAGACCAGGACTCGAACATGAACTTTATCAATGGCAAAATTTCAAGTCCCGGTTCTCAAATGGAAGACGACGATAACAGAAAGAGAAAGAACAATACTGATGAGGATAAAAGTAATAGTTCTCACGGCAAATTTCCTCGTTATCTCGATAATAATAATGATAGCCATATTGAGCACACTAGTAAGAACAGCCCGTACCACTATAACGAATACCAAAATCGTCACCAGTCTCTTTACAAACGCAATATGCATTACCAACATCAGTATCTTGAACCCCACGAAGCAAAGATCGTTCCTTTTGTCTGTAAAACAGAGGATTTATCGTCGTATAATGATGGCTATGGGGTAGATATTACCCACGGGTCTAAACTCTTCAAGTCCAGACATAAAGAAGAATTTGATCGTAAGGATCGAGGGTCAAGTTCTGAGACAATAGCGAGGTACGGGGAAAACCAGTTGGGGCCAATGGGACCTGCTACTGATAATTCAGATGATACAGAAACATACGAGATCCCGAGTTCAATTAATAGGGATTTTCAATCTCCTGGACCCTTGAATCACGGGGAACGTTTAATTTCAAAGAAAATGGACACTGAAAACCATTATCTCACCAATATTAAGGCAATGCACTATGGATTGTTGAAAGATGGTGGTTACGGTAAAGTAGAGACAAGTAAGAGAAGCGAAAGTCCAGACAATGAAATCCCGCTGGACTTGAGTATTGTCAAAATGGAACCAAACATTTCTTACTCCTCTGTCTCTAGGTCTCAGTCTTCGTCATCCGTTTCTCCGAACCCTTCGTTTGTGGCTACGTCAAGCCCCAACCGTAACAAGGACTATGCCAATCTTTATACCCATTTAGAGAACCACGTTACCAAACCACACAAACTTGAACCCGACGCGAAAGAGTTTTCACCGGAAGAAGAAAAAGAGAACTTACATTCATTTCCGGAAGCATGTTCGCTACCTGACACAAACCCAACTTCGTCGCTATCGTTAGGCTATGTCCCGGCTATCGAAAAACCTGATATGAAACCTGACCACGCCCATGGAAGAAGTAGTGTTAGTTCTTCTCCGGAAATAATCAGTGCAGGATCGACGGGGCCCAAAATAACAGACGTTTCAGGGTCTTTTTCAGCGACAAAATTATCACAGGTACAACAAATGCAGGTTAACATGCAGCAACAACCAGCAGTGGAGACCCTTCTTTCGTCATCCGGGCAACAAGAAGCAGCTAGTAAAGCCGTCGACGTACATCCACTGGTCGTGCCTCAAATTAATCCTGGTTTTCTGGGACCTACAGGACAAAACATGACTGCAAAATTTATCCCACTCCCGACGAGTGTTAGTACTTCGATGCCAGTACCAATTCCTACAAACGTTGTCGCCGTACAAAAAAACGATAACTGCATGTATGTATATCCGATGAGTTTTCCCACGCTGTCTTCCATGCCACCCAGCAGCCAGCAACTAGGGGTACCCCAACCAGTGATGCCTGTACAGAAGCTTGAACCGTTATCCTCGTTCGTACCGGACAAAGGTCCCGAAAAGGACCAACTAAAGCTAGTTGCTGAGAGCAACATCTTCCCAGGGGTTTACACGAGCATACTGAAACTGTCTTCTCACAAGAGGTCTAGATCGAAACAAGACAAAAACAAAAGTAATCAGGCTGTCAATCATGCGCAAAGTACAGCTCCCCCTCCTCCACCACCACCGCCCCCAAATGTTGCAACCCAAGTGCCAGCTCTGACGTCCCAGCCAATGACGTCCCAGGCTGTCATGTTTATCCCGACTATGCGTCCATTACAGAACGTGTGCGTGCCTACCACAGCCGTTGGCCAGTCTGTCCAGCCTCAAACAAACTTCCCTTTGACCAGTTCCCCACTCACAGCCACAGCCACCCCCACCACCAATTCTCACGTTAGCGTTCCCTCTAAACAAACAGTGACGATGACATCAGCAGGTGTGGCGAATACACACACGAGTAGCAGCGCCGGACAGCAGTCAATTATTATGGTCTACCCACATACGGCCATTTCAGCCCTGGGCAAACCTGTGCGAAGGCGTGGTCGACCCCCCAAACTACCTATGCTTACTCAACTTCTTGTGGACAAGAGACCCAAAATTGCTAACGTCCCTATCACAGAGAACAAATCCTTGACCGTTCTCGATCAAAAAGATTTACCTTTGGTTTCACCTGCACCCTTTCAAGAACGGGTGAATGTCACCAAACCCGAACCGATTCCAATTGATGTCAATGAATCGGCAGATGACAAATTGGACGGCGTCGAGATTTTGGGTGAGACACCAGCAACGGTGACAAGCCAAGTGGAGAGAACAAAAAAAATACCGGTCACTTTGAATTCGTCCATCCCGACGGTAGCTTCAACACTGACCACTAATAGCAGCAGCAGCAGCAGCAGCGGTGGACCGCTTTACCAGGAGATGATTCTCTCGCCAAGGTCACTGAAGAACATAAAACCGCGAAAACCACACTCGGCTAATGATTTCATGAAACCGAATGCGAATTTCATTTGCACATCGTTTCGGATTCGGCCGCGGGCTTTCCGGTCAAGGCGGAACGGAAATGGACGGAACCGAAAGAACGCTAAAGGTTCGTTGCCGTTAATGCAGCCTCAGTCACCGATGATGGCAACGGCGTCACCACAGTTGCAGCATCAGATCACCCAGCAGCAGTTACAGATGCACCAGGAGCAGCTGCAAAAACAGTTGCAACAACAAATCCAGCAACAACAGCAGCAAGAACAACAACGACAAGAAGAAAAGGTTCGACAGCAGGAAGAGCAGCATCAGCAAAAGCTTCTTCAGCAGCAGCAGCAACAACTGCAACAACAATTACAACAGCAGCAACAACAACAACAGTTACAACAACAGTTACAACAACAACAATTACAACAACAACAACAACAACAACAGCTACAACAACAACAACAACAACAGGAAGAATTACAACAAAAACAAGAACAAGAACGTCATGAAGAGACAGAAATTTACTCTTTGCCTTCATCGCCGACAGGTCTTTTGAAAGGCTCTATCTCTCCTCTCCCGTCTTCAACTTCCCTGCATCACCGTCTCGAGAACAACAAGAGCTGGACATCAGACGACAATTCAAGGGGTTCTTCACCACGCAATTTCTTCCAGGAACTTTACCATTGCAAGATCTGCAACGAGATTGTCTCATCGGAAGAGAAGGCATCGCATCAGAGAGAACATATTCCCATCCGTTTCTTTTGCCAGACTTGCGGGCTGGAGTACCAAAGTTTTCTAGCCCGAAATCCAGCAAGCGACAAAAATGACCCAAACGATGATGACATCCCCGATGATAACAACGGTGAGCCAATAGAACTTCCTGAACCGCTTCAATGCGACCGATGCTGCGAAAACTTCTCGCATCCTAAGTTCGCCCTCAATCGGTGTTTGCAAGTTCAAGGAGGAAACATCTTATGCGACCTCTGCGGTGATCAGTTCCGAACGTTTACGAACTTTTACGAGCACCGCAACAAGGTGCATGGGGATTGTGGTCTTAGTCGTGCTGAACATTACGTGTGCGAGACATGCGGTAAAATACTTTATACGTCCAAGGCTCTGCGCCTTCATCGCAAATTGCACCTCGACCGTACTGTTCAGTGCACTATTAACGACTGTCCACGCTTCTTCCATAATAATATGGACCTCCTGCGACATATCCGCGAGCAGCATGACAAAACGAAAGAGTTCTCCTGCATTTACGACGGCTGCAACAAGAAATTTATGAAGAATTTTCACTTGCAAGAACACATCCGCGTCAAGCACTTCAATATCCGGGCATTTCACTGTTCATGGCCCGGATGTACGAAGGAGTTCGCTGCCGAGCGACACCTCAAGGTTCATTTACTTATACACAAGGACGAGAAACCATTAAAATGTGAGTTTTGTGACTATAGGTGCCGACAGAGAAACGCTTTGAACTGGCACATGCGCAAACACCCGGAAGCACCTTATAAGTACCGGAAGTTTTCTATAAATTCCTCTGACTGCTGAATTTGATATAAATGTTATTTATTTATTTATACGTTTTAAAATGCTGTTGTATTTATTTTATTTTGTTTGTTTCTTTATATATATATATATATATATATATATATATATATTATGTGCGTGTGTGCATATAATTAAATTGATTAAAAATTGTTATATTTATGGGGGAAGAGTGCTCAATGCTTGAAGATAGAGTATTTGTAGATATGAACAATGTGGATATAGAAATCTACACTGTATGGTGATTGCCAGTTTCATCTCATAAGGGGCATTAGAAGATGGTAACTGCTTAACCCATGAAACTGACAATTAATGCAGTAAACTGCAGTAAACGTATATATATATATATATATATATATATATATATATATATATATATATATATATATAGTAAAACGGAAATTATTTACTGAAACATTTCTGTAAATAAATTTTACAATCAAGACCCATGACAAGTAGATACTATCTCTGGCAGTCTGCCGGAGATAGTATCTACGTGGATACAGATAAGTGAATTTCATTTTTTTTTTTTGTTATTAATGCTCTGTCTCTTGATATTGAGTACTTTAATTTAAAAACTGATTAACTTAAATGCATTATCTTCCAGTTACTTTGGATGACCTTTCTTTTCTTGCGAAACACAATCTTTGTTTTATATATATATATATATATATATATATATATATATATATATATATATATATAACTGGACTTATATTTGGTGTATTTTGTCAGGCATTTCTCGTTTATACAAGTATGGCTAAAAAGCGAATTTTCTTTTTAATGTTTTTATATATATATATATATATATATATATATATATATAATAGTAATCTTATAAATATAAGAAATTATACTCGTCCGGTAAACCTTGGGTACTTTGATATGTAAATAAACAGACCAATATCCAAGGAAAAAAAAGGTACAAAAAAAAAAAAGAAAGAACAGAGAACATGTACGTCAGCGGAAGACAATCGTCTAGCATCCAAGTTCAGAGTTCAAAGAAAAACAAAACCGATACGAGTAAGTAAAATAACTAAGTAAAGTGCTCAATACGCTAAGTAGAGCAAACCTAATTAAATCTAAAGAGCCAGATAATCCTACCAGGGTTTCACCTACGCGGTGATAATCCGCGTAGGTGAAACGCTGGTAGGTTTATCTGGCTCATTAGGTTTAATTAATTAATTATATATATATATATATATATATATATATATATATATATATGTGTGTGTGTGTGTGTGTGTGTGTATTTAGGCAAAATCCCCCTCTAATATAATATGTTTTATTGAAAATGACTGACAACATACTTCTGTTAAGTATTTTGATTGCATTTTCTTTTGTACGAATAAAATAGAACTTTTTGGGACTGAGTACATTATCGAAATTGTTTCGACAACTGTTCGTTGAGAGCGCATTCGGCTAATGAGTTAGCCATTTGCAATCATTTTGGTTGTGTAAACAGCCTGCAAGTTGCTGAAAGGTATATATAACATATTTAATTCTCAAATACAAAAGAAGGTAAATTATCGTTGTGTTCATAGTTGATGTCATGAAAGCTTGTTTTATGATAACCTGTTAGTCTTGCAAATGGCTAACAGAATTCGATTCTCGACTCAGGAATCTCTTTGCCCGATCACCCGATCCAGAACGGAACATCTTCTGGGTGAAAAGCATATAACTTTGTCCATGGTTTCTGCTATCATCTCCGAACTAGATCTTCATACAGCTTGTGGATTTTACGGCATCCCTACATTTGCCCTATGGAAATACGCTACTGAATTGGCTCCTCTTCGCTTCAAACTCTAATATAACTTGGTGCTTCTTGCATTCCAACTTGTTGAAAATCATCCTCTTTAGTTCTTATCTTTAAGAACTCTGCCGAACCTTGGAATTATTCGTTTCCCTAGATCTACGTATTTGTCTTTCATGCTTTAGATAAGAACGGCGAGGCTATGGTTATGACTTTAGATATCTCAAATGCTCGGGTTTAGCCTTCTTCAAATGCTCAAGGACTATGGTGTCTCTGGGTGGATATTTCGCTTCACCCAATTTTCCATAACAAATCGTGTAATGAAGGCCATGTTAAATGGCTACGCTTCTAGATCATTCCACATTAAATCAGAGTCTCCCAGGTCTCTGTATCCTTGGACCTACATTGTTTCTTATCTTCATCAATGACCTTTACAATGTCATCAGTTCCCAACTAGCTATCTGTGCTGATGACACAACTATTTACTTCTGTCTTAGCAGTAGGTATGATAGATTCGTCAAAGTAAAACTAGCAGCTGTTAACTGGGGCAAGAAATGGCTTGTAAGTATTAACGCCTCCAAAACAAAACTGACTTCATTTAATCTCTATATGGAAACTTTCCTGCCTTCCGTAAACATGGCCGATGTTAACTACCATAAGAGCAATTCCTTGCATCTTCTTCGACCTACGTTTTTCACTGACATGAAGTGTAAAGATTATATTGAATCAATTGCTAGATTTACTGCTAGGAAGGTTGTTTTTTTTTTTTTTAAAAAAAAGCGAGAACAGTAGAAAGAAAATTCGATCAGTAGGTCACAACAGCAAGCGGGATCATCATTTCAACTTAGAGCTAAAGAGATCAATTAAAAAATATCTAAGTCAATCTATAAGACGTGAGAGAGAAGTTTCAGCTACGACAGTCCAAAGAGCAGTGAAAAAAGACTTGAAAATGAAATCGCACCTGAAACGTGTGAGGCGCCTTGTTATTCCAAGACAGGAAGCTAGAAGGTTAGATAGGGAGAAGATCCTCTTGAATAAGTTGGAAAATGGTCCTGAAATAATATATATATATATATATATATATATATATATTATTTAGGACTATTTTCCATATATATATATATATATATATATATATATATATATATATATATATATATATATATATATTTATGATTGAAATAAACTTCAAATACATACATGTATGTATTTAAAGTTTATTTCAATCCTTCGTGAGTTTTCAATCCTTAGCTATCATTAATTAAAGATGAACATCTCATTTCTGTTTATGATCGATTGCATTAGGATTCTTCTGTTAAGCCTGGAGAGTAATTATACATTCTTATTGCTTAAAGCAGAGTCCAATAGCGTTATAAAACCTCGGAGAATTCCAATAAGATATCTTTAATCATTTTTAAGATACAACGGTTCAAAGCTTAATCTAATAATTAGACAATTTTGCTGTTACACCGGTGTATATATATATATATATATATATATATATATATATATATATATATATATATAAGAAGTGACAATTTAATTTTTTTATTGCATTTTCACAGTCTTTGGTTAAGGAATTGAGTATTGTTTGGAATGGTCTAGCGTAACGTCTGTATAACGGGTCTATTGGGAACGGGGTCGCGCGCACACACACACACAAAAATAAATTGACTTAATTACTACCAACAACACCAGCCTTATAAATCCCTCCAATATAAAAATAATGTTATCTATGAATTCTCATGCCTCCTGGGAGATTGCATATTCAACACTAATAATAAAAAAGCAACATTAAATACTTACATTGCGTACCCATGCACCACACACTCTCACAGATTAACCTGCCAGCTGTCGAAACTTATTTCAATCCGTGCACACTCCGACAAGGACAACCTGTACGACCAAAGTACAACTATCAACATAAGACAAATATTAGTAGATAACACCAAAGTACTCTACAGCATCCAATGCAAGGAAAGACTCAAAACTCTAGAAGCACAAAATAAAAAGTCTACATTAAATAAATTATCTTTCTCCACAGGAGAAGGTATCTTGAAGTGTATATGATATAATTAATGTGTGCACATATTTTATCAATTATATAATAATAAAAATTAAAATAAAAATGTAAATAAATCGTATTCTTTTTGTGTGACGTCACATTAGAACATTTCAAACGTCCAACTATCCAAAGAATACCAGAATACAGGCAAAAGAATTCTACAGAGACACAACATTGGTTCTTGATAATGTCTGCGATAGAAAGAGTATTGTTTTTTTCAGCAGATAATATATTTTACCAGGTATCTTTCATAGTGTTTTGACCCCAGTTTGGGGATTAACTATTCGCCCATAGTTGAGACCCTAACAGGTGCTGCCACCAGCAATTAAAAGGTTCCTCAAAACCTCTTTATCAGAGGCCTTGCTGTTGGATTTAGTTTATCGTCATACCCAGGACATTGTTACATTTGACTAATGAGTTCATTTTGATGAGAATTATGCAAACGTAATGTGGGCGTGTTCTTTAAACCAATAATTCCAATTAGGCTGATTAAAAAATTATTTCATTCATAACGACAATTAAGTAGCAGCAGCAGCAAGAACAAAACTGCAATCCATAGGAATCCATTTACTACTTTTACTCTAACCAATTTAGCACTGACTCTTTTAATTAACAATAAGCGGCTGATTAAACAAAAGATATAAATTGTCTATATTTCTAAGATGACCTAATGTAATTATTTATAATATTTACATTGTTTGGATATCTTTGCTGTCCTCAAGGACACATGACTCAGTGGATAAAAGCGTTGGTAATCGAGTGACTTAACCCAAATACCTGGCCACAGTAGAGGTGAAGAAATAACAAGGAGAGTTGAGTTAATAGGGAGATAACTGAAACTGGTATATCTGGAAGAGGCATGGCACGTTGAACTAGAACAATCTACCCGGTTGATCACCTGAAGAAGGCTGGAGCGTATAATGTTCGAAATGTCGTGAATATGACAACAAAGATGCGGACAATAATCTGAACAATGTAAATAATGTAAATAAAAATCTAAACTTTGCAATAAATTATATTCAATGTTTAAAAATAAAATTCTAATTCGTTTTAAAGTGTTTAGAACAGAGATTAATTTTTATATTATTATCCGTCGTGATAATAAACATCTACATTTTAAACAAAATGCATTACGTCTAACGGCCTGTGTACGTGAGAAAACTTAATGTACCCTCCGGCTGGGGG